CGACGCCCCCGACTGGTGAGCGCTCGCGCGCGCACACGCACAGACACACACGTGCTCAAACATCGACGTCCCCGACTGGTGAGCGCTCGCGCGCATACCCGAATAGAGGGCTGTGCGAACCCACGCACATACACACGCGCACTCACCGATTGGTGAGAACACGCACGCAGACACGCGCGCGCGCGCGCACACACACACACACACACACACACACACACACACACGCACGCAAACGCACAAACACACACACCACACGCACATGTCTTGATTGCGAGCTTCGCGACGGGTGAACCCACGCACATACATACATACATGTACTCAAACATTAACGCCACCGACTGGTGAGCGCGTGCAGGCACACACACACACATATACACACGCGCGCGCACGTGCCTAAATAGTAAAGTGCATGACGGGTGAGCACACGCAAACAGGCCCTCAAACACGCACATTCACTCATGTGCTAATACATTGAGGCGAGTGACTGGTGAGCACACGCTCGCAGACGCAGATGTACACAAACACATGCTCAAACACGCGGACGCGCCAGCGCACGCTCACGCGCGACCGAAAAGCACACGCATTCAAGCACACATGTACATACTTGCTGATACATCAAGGCAATCTCATGGCGAGCACACGCACGCACACGCACACACACACCCCCACACACACCCACATACACACACATACACACACATACACACACACATGCCCATATCGCGCTTACTGACTATGCATTTACTTTTAATTCAAGTATAAAATCATTCTGCTACCAGTACATTATTGTCAGCAAAAGCTGAGACGATTAGACGAACGTACTTATTTTCTACGAGTATTTTTCATGCATTCACAATTTTACCTGAACATTTGAGTATTGCCTAACACATAGCACGGGGCCCTAAAAATTGAAATTTTATGCCGCTTTGTATGTGCTAAAAGTAATCGTTTTCACTAAGAGGCTGTATAAAAAACATGTTTATAAAATAGTAGAAAACATTGTTTATTTTTCGTGAGTGAAATGAATGTTTATTGCAGGATCCACAACTTTTGTCTTAAAGAACGAATCTTTGCGTGGGCTGCAAGTGATGTAAAAGGTGGTGCGGTTTCGCAGGAAGGGCGAGACGCCGCTGCACGCGGCGACGCGTGCTGCGCGCGTGGAGACGGCGACGGAGCTGCTGCGCGCGGGCGCCGACGCCAACGCGCGCTCGCTCAAGGGCGTGACGCCGCTGCACTGCGCCGTGAAGGCGAGCAGCGCCGCGCTGGGGCAGCTGCTGCTGCGCGCGGGCGCCGACGCGCTGGCGTGCGACGCGGCGGGCCGCTCGCCGCTGGCGCTCGCGCAGGCGCACGCGCGCGACGGCGCGCACGCGCAGGAGCCCGGCCGGCGCGACCGCGAGCGCGAGCTCTGGCGCAGGGACAGCGACCAGCTGCTGCGCGCGCTGCGCGCCGCCGTCGCGGCCCGCAAGGAGCTGCAACCGGAGAAGAATGGGGTCAGGCCGGAGGAAGTTACGTAATGAGGCCAAACAGAGCTTTGCGAGGAAGATCCGTCACAGCAGAGGAGGTGGATCTGCAGCCGGAAAATGGGGGTTTGACCTGAAGGAAATTGCATGAGGACGTGAAGCTCAGTGCTTTAAGAGGAATATCGTTGGCAGCAGATGAGGTTGAGCAGCTCCCGCAGAATAGAGTTAGGCCTGCGAAAATTACTTGGTGAAACTATGTGCTTTAAAGGAGAGGTGGACGCCGAAGTGAAGGTTAAGCTGAAGAATGATGACAGGTCTGAGAATAACCATAGGCGTGCGCACAGAGGGGTAGGGGAGTCGTGGCCCCTCTGAAATTTTAGAAAGTGGGCTCCGTCGCACCGTATGTAATAAAAAAAATAATTCCGGAAATATTTCATTCCTTGACTTCCCCCGAATTTAACTTGACAATTTGAAGAATAGTGTTTTAATTATTTTGTAACAAAGTACCGTATATCATATGCAAATAAAATGTTTAATGGAAATAGGGGCCAGAAATTTTGTTCCCCCTCCCCCCTGTGTATTAGGCTGCGCGCGCCTAGCAGAATAACAAGTGAAATAATCAGGCGAAACCCAGAAAATTAAGAGAAGTGTGCAGCAGGGGTAGTTGAGCTGCACTCGAATAATGGTGTTAGGTCTGAGGAAGTGACATCTGGTTGTGAAATTCAGACGTGTAATAAAAGAGGTAGCCGCAGGAGAGGTTGAGCCACATCTGGAGTTTGGTGTTAGGCGCGAGGGAATTATATTATGAGATGATAGACGGAAGAGAGTCTTAGTGATTCAAAAGTGTGAATCAGTGCAAACTACGGTTCTTATCCCTTATGTGTACCGAATGTGTCCAGACAAGTAATGGGCTCCTTATCGACAGAAAACATCCTTGAGTCTGTCCAATGTGAATTCGCGAATCGACGAGACACTTTGAATGGTGTGTATATAAACACTCCAATATGCATACTTAATATACAACAAAATTTGATTCGTTTCACTACCCATCTTCAAGCTGGCAACAAGGCCCTTGATTTCGTGATATTCATGAAAAATCTTGCGCATTTGCAACATATAATATCCGACGAACTGAGATTTCAAAAGTATGAAATTGTAAGCTGTCAATTAACGGACTTCCAATTTAAATGCGTCGAGCAATGAACTACCGTTGCTCATTTTCCTCTTTCGTTCTCCGTTCTCGAGGAGTAGAGAATCGATTCTCATCCCTCACGAATCAACCCCGACGCCACGATATCAGTGAACGAAAGCGAAGGTGTGGCGAGGAGGGGAATTCTGTCAGTGTAGTTCGAATGTCCACGGCATTCTGTTTACGTTGTTGGGATGACTATTAGAAAGTCTGCACTGAGCAGTCTCAAAGATGCTTTAAATTAATCCCTAAGGCCGGAGCCTCGTCACTCTAATTCGACGAGCGTGACGAAGGGTCAACATTGCCGATTAAACGTGTTAGGGAAAAAAGTATTAAGGCATAAAATGCGTTGGACTGACACAAGGATGTTATTTGGTAATCGCGTAGGTCGAAGGTTAGGGCCTCGTCGTATCATTGAATACACGGAAGGGAAATATGACTTTGCCTTTAAAGTTTGAGGTTATAAATAACAACGCCATTCGGCTTTCTCTGGCGCGATGCGGTATTGTCATTCACCATGTTCTTAGCAGAAGTGTGCCGATTCTGTCTCGTTCGATACGATGAGGGATAAGAACCGATTAGCCTTCCCAGAGACTCGTTCAGTACTAATTCAAATACTCTGAACAACAAACTCTCTCCCAATGAACAAATCTGAGTGAATTCCAGTGCGTGGTAAAAGACGTGAGGAGATTGGGACCAGCTGACGTCATGACGCAATGCCATGGCGGAGCTGCATCGACGCACTGATTTTTGATCGATCTGCGCAGCACCTGATCCGTCATGATCCACGTGGCGACATCACGGGCACTTAGTATGAAGAGCAAATATAAATGCGGGTCGCCTTGCTCCATGGCAAGCGAGAAGTGTTGAACAACATTTTGGAAGAAACTATTTCAACGGTGACCAACCAAAAATAATACAACGAATGTGTAGTTGAAATACGAGTAA